ATAGCAGTATTGAATAATGTCACACAGTAAAAGGAAAACTACAAAAAATATATATTTATAATAATTCCTCTCTTGTTAACTTCTCTGTATAAGAAAATGACTACTGGTTTTATTATTTTTCAGGGCTTTCCTGCAGCCAAAGGAGGCCAAAACATTGACCAGATTGCAGATGTGTCTCGCCTGCCTCGTTACAACTTTCAACACTTCTCCACAAAAAGAAAGCTGGGATCTCGTCTTCTAAGCTGACTAAAGAAAATTTGGTGTATTCTTAAATAATCAACTTTTAAGATCATTTTGACTCTACTTTGTTTTCAAACAGGATATTTTAGTGTTTTATTTTAGTCTCTTGTCAAGTTGCAAAGAGATTACTTGCAGTAGAATTGTGTACATTATTTTATATATAAGTCATGTTGGCTCCCAGACCTCGGCTGTTAATGGGAGTTACATTTTAGTTGTTCCCTCTTTGCTTTCTTCCTCTGACTTCGAACTCGAGCAGACCTCGATTTAGACTCCTCGTGACTGCAGCTTTGTGGAAGTGAAGCAAGAGGTCCGGGCGTTGCACCACAGTGGAAAGACGAGACGTTTAAAGAGACCCGCTGACCATTTTAGACTCTCATAAGGTGAAACAGTTTACTTGAAGGGGTTATCTTGCAAAATTCAGGAAGTCACATTGAGTCATCTCTCATCATCGGAGCAGCAGTTTCCCTCGCCAGCTGTTTGTTTTGGCTCTCAGGCGTACTTCTGTTTTTAACTTCCTTACTGCGGGACTGAGAACATTCATTGTCGAACACCAGGTTGCTGTAGAGAAGCTGCAGCTCACAGGAAACCACAACAATCTATACAATCTTAAGTTGCTACTGAGATGGCACCTACGTCTCTGTAGGTCTGGCTTTGTTTTTATTTACCTTCCGTTTAGGTTTTAAATGACAGAATCTTGCTCTTTTAATCTTTACCAGTAAACAGGACTAGGGGGCTGAACCTTACTGGATTTTTTTTAATTATTATAAATTTTACCAGCAATGTAGGGTGAGCAATGTTTAGCTCATGGATGCCCCCCGCCCCCCAGCTATTTTTCCGAGCAATTTCTGCAGCTGCGTTTGAATGAACAGGATTTGAAACTTGCTTGTGAATGATAACGTCCCACTGACAAACATCCCTGTGGTGTCTGCGTTAGAGACCTGTTTTGATTTGTAGACTCCGCACTGCTTTAACACGGGAGAGCGTCTCCACTTGAGGAAGCAAAACACGACTTTCATTACTGCCTTAAACAAGTTTCATGTGTGTCATTTATGAACTATCCTGCTGTACTTGTGCAAATGGCTCATCGGTACAGTGAGATAAATCAGTGCACTAATATGTGATTGAGTGATACCAACGGCTGGGACCCCACTGTGTGTTTCAGAGGACTTTTCTGTAATCGAATCAAATTTAAAGAYGATTAACAGCACATTTTTGTTAAAGTTGTTATAAAATTAGGAAAACCATTCAGAATCCAGTAAAGTTAATTTAGCTGTTTGTGTTCTATTTATATTCTTATTTTTAAGCCTTTTCTTTCAATGTTTGCACACTTTAACCAGTCGTGGTTGGCATCGTTACAGTTATTCTGTGGGTAAGGACCTGAAACATTTGGGAACAGTCTCCGCTCATACGGCCTGCATCGGCAGGCGTTACGTGTTGGTAAAAGTCATTCGAGGTAAATAAAACATGCAAATGGACAACAAGGCTGCTACTTTCTCACTTAAGAGACGTTCTGAGGGTGTGGGAGGGGAAAATTTATTGTGAAATGTCAACGTCTCAGACAGGAACAAGCAGCTAGTCATAGGGGCAAGGAGCTGGGCACAGCGTTAGAACAGTGTGATTTCTGTAAAACAGAAGGTCTTCATAACGGTCAAGGTGCATGTGATGTGGAGTTTAGTATATTTTTATTGCTCTTTCTTAAACTATATGACAGTGTGTTTTACTTCTATTTGTGGCACAGCGTTATCTGCTGAAACACAAYAATGCTTTCAGCAAGTTGAATATACCGTACTGTGAATTGACCCTAGCAGTACATCAATTTTGTATTAGAAATGAAACAGGGCTGTTTTTACTCACCGTGCTAGTTTAGCTACAAACTTGTCATTATTGGAAAATGGAAAAAAGCTCTTAAGGTTGTATCAAACAGCAAAGTTCAAAAGTAACGAGGCAAAAAGACACAATCTGGTATAAAAGTGAAAACTTCCTTTGATCTATCATTAAACAAAACCTGTTTGAGATAAAATGGATCTTGACATGCTGAGCAAACATGAAAGGACATAAAAATCTAAATTCACTTCCTGTTTCAGCCCCCCCCTTAAAAAACTGCTCAGCATCTTTCCATATCAAGTAAAGACAATGCTGGTTAGCAAAACTGAAAATAATTTTTTCCCATGTAGTTTATTTTCTATTTACATCTTTGTAGCAAAGTTTTGTGATGGATTTGATCCAGTGATATTTTTGCTAAATCTGATTTTTTTTAAAGAACCTTTTTAGTTTTAGTCTCAGATTTATTATTATTATTATTAT